GTTTCGTCTCTTCCTGACCAGACTGGATTTGCTCTGTTTGATCATTTGAGCTGGGATATGTGTGCATCACAGTTGACTGCTATATCACGGAGCGAACGACATCAATACGGAATAAAACCCCAGATATTGCGACTTAGACTCATAGCGTTCCGTTTTACTTTAACCCATTTGTAATTAGTTGTTGTATTTTATGATTTCCACTCAGAATAAAAATGAAAAAAACCTCACAGTGGTGACAAATGACAAAGAACATACAGGTTCAGTAGGTTAAACTGGTCGCAAGAATTTGACATGTGTATCATCGTTCAGCTGCAGCACCCTTTCGGTGCCTAACTGCCATGCCACCTGAAGGTTGCACGAAGGCTGGAATACTTCCAGGTTGCCCAAGGGGAAGTTGAGAGACAGAGACCGGGTTCGAACCACGGACCTTCCGGTCAGTAAATTCGTGCTCTAACCAACTGAACGATCTTGACCCCAGAAGAATTAACTTTTCTATCCAATACTTCCACCCAAAAGCCAAATATTCCGCTAATATTTACAACCGACGTCTTGAACACAAGGACATGAGTTAGTTTTGGTTCTTACTCTCGTTAGTAAAAGACCCCAATGAAGAATCATTGAACCAAAATTGCCTCCCTCACATAATCAATAAACCTCCAATCCGGATGGTCTAAACGAGTAGTGCTCATTTTATGGAAACGAGTTACATTATACCTTCCAGTCGTGGGGACATCTTCACGAGTACCACAGTGTGTTACCGGTCGAACTGTCATCTCCTGCCAGCGTTGACTCACAAGAACCGTATCCTATGTTTCACAAAGTGGGATAACAAATAGTCACTAACGTTTCGGTATGCCTGGATCCATTGTTCAGATTTTCAATACTGTTGTAAAACAACGCCAGTGTAATGGTGGACACTACTGATGGACGAGTAGTATAGTATGTTTTCACGTAAATCCTCTTCCCGTCTCTTGAAAAGTGAGATCTATTAGGGAACTTGTAGAATCGCATTTGCTTGCATTTGAGCAACCGTCAGTGGATATCTAGGAAAATTCAGAAAGATGTGTTCGAGAAGAAGATGGATATTCAGTTTTTTAAACAAGATGCATGTGAGAGTTTTGCTTCCCTGTCCAATAGTCTGTAACTGCTCACTTGGCGTTTCCTAACGAATAACTCCGCAACAAAGCCCTTCTTCCTCTCACTAGAACAGAGGTCTTCAGACCATTTTATTTGCCCTCTGCATTTAAACCACTCACTACCGAGCGCCGTCTTCTGCAACGAGAGAATACAGAATTCTTATTTCATTGGAGCACCCCATGTCAAAAACCAACCTGATTTTTATTTGGTCCTTATCTAAGCAACATGACCAATAGATTCAAGCATCACGACCAAGAACACACGTGGGAGAGCCCTGAAATTGTTCAGCTGTAGCACCCTTTCGGCGTCTAGTTGCCATGCCACCAGAAAGAAGCACGAGGGTTGGGATACTGCCAGGTTGCCCGAGGCTGGACAGAGGAAGTCGAGAGACAGAGGTCGGGTTTGAACCACTAAGCTTTCAGTCAGTAAATTTGCACTCTGACCACTTGGGCCATCTCGCCCCGAGACCTCTGAGAACACAAGTTAGATAGGAATGAAGCGTAAACTGAAAGTTTGGAAATAATGCCAGAGTACAGTTTTGACTAGAAGGCGAACAGGTTCCACTGTGTGACACAGTTTATGACACAAAGTGCAGATTTCAAATCGGGGATGCAGGTATTGATTAGTCAGTCAGTGGTCACATTTGAAAATAACTGATTGTCATAATACGCCCTCTGATTGTACAACCTCCTTCAGCTGTGGCACCTGAGATGAAAATCGATTCAGACAGCAGTGAGCCGGAATGTGACAGGATTTTGTTTAGATTTCGGAAGGCCTACCTCCTTTTTAAATTACAGTGGCGAAAAGATGCCCCGAAATACACAAACGGGCTATTCAGGCTTCTAGTACCCGGCTTCAGACCTTGTAAACTTGGAGTTCGAACTAAGGTTGCCCCAATCATTCTTGTGGAAAAGACTTTATGCTCCCTATGGATAGAACTTGTCACTGTAAAAAGGATAATGCAATTAAAAGCTAGGGTTTGACGGCATTTTTATGGAGCTATGTCTCTCCTCTGATTGAACTGTGCTCAAAAAGCATTGTCGGTATGGCCGGGGTGAATACACACGGATACGCCGTCAACCTCTCTGTTTTCACAGTGATGACTCCTCAGAATTAGTGCGCATGCAGATTTTCAATATCTCTAAATGCACTTTTAAGCCATTCATTCTTCCTCAGACAATAAAATGAGGAGGCGACTTACCAGGTTACTTGTTGAGGTAGATTAAAGCTACACAAAGTCAACCTATTAACCCAAATTCTACTCGTCAGTGCGCTTCCTTGGCCCTTTTAGCTGAGTGCTATATGCAGATCGCTTTCCTACCTACCTCTTTAACGGAATATAGGAACCAGGATCGTCTCGCCTCCCCCTCCCCGAATACTTATACGTTCCTTATGAAGATTTTCCTAAAGCGGGCGAGGTCGACCGAGTGTCAATATGTCGGGAGACTGATAACTCGGTTAAGTCTACTAACTACTGGTGGCTATTGTGGGTCGCTTTTGATCTGTTACTCGAGTTCAGCTAGTCAATTGGAAATGTTTTTTCATCAATCCAGGGAAGATCATCATTTCATGCGCTCATCAGGCACCTGATCACTAAACAGACTGTCACATTATTGTCACAAAGATGACCTTCAGAATGCTTCGCTATTGGTTCATTCGTTATGGTTTTATCTGCTAGATGTTTGTGAAGCTTTGGTCAAGAAAGTGACGATCTTTTGCTTGGTTTCGGGTCTTGCCAACAATTTTTGAGTGATTCAGCGTTTACTTAGATGCTGGTATTAAACCTGAAGTGAAATGAGTTAGCTTATCTATGCGATCACAGTGATAAAATGGTTTAGTAGCTTCGTATAACAGTATGTTTGTGTTGGAAGAGGACGTCGAATACTCTCAGAATCTTTCTGCATGACAGAACTCTAAAACAGGGAAAAACAGACTGTTTACATAAAGAGAAGGGGCAGCAGATGAGGAAACCGAACCGAAGGGTGGACTTTGCATGAAATTAAACGAAGTTTGGCTGTAAGCGGATGAAACTAGACCTCAAAGTGGTCACGAACACCCACGCCATGCTTTTCTCTAGAAGCGACAGCATTTCAGAATACGAGACACGTTGCGACAACCAAGAACACACGTGGGAGAGCCCTGAAATTGTTCAGCTGTAGCACCCTTTCGGCGTCTAGTTGCCATGCCACCAGAAAGAAGCACGAGGGTTGGGATACTGCCAGGTTGCCCGAGGCTGGACAGAGGAAGTCGAGAGACAGAGGTCGGGTTTGAACCACTAAGCTTTCAGTCAGTAAATGTGCACTCTGACCACTTGGGTCATCTCGCCCCGAGACCTCTGAGAACACAAGTTAGATAGGAATGAAGCGTAAACTGAAAGTTTGGAAATAATGCCAGAGTACAGTTTTGACTAGAAGGCGAACAGGTTCCACTGTGTGACACAGTTTATGACACAAAGTGCAGATTTCAAATCGGGGATGCAGGTATTGATTAGTCAGTCAGTGGTCACATTTGAAAATAACTGATTGTCATAATACGCCCTCTGATTGTACAACCTCCTTCAGCTGTGGCACCTGAGATGAAAATCGATTCAGACAGCAGTGAGCCGGAATGTGACAGGATTTTGTTTAGATTTCGGAAGGCCTACCTCCTTTTTAAATTACAGTGGCGAAAAGATGCCCCGAAATACACAAACGGGCTATTCAGGCTTCTAGTACCCGGCTTCAGACCTTGTAAACTTGGAGTTCGAACTAAGGTTGCCCCAATCATTCTTGTGGAAAAGACTTTATGCTCCCTATGGATAGAACTTGTCACTGTAAAAAGGATAATGCAATTAAAAGCTAGGGTTTGACGGCATTTTTATGGAGCTATGTCTCTCCTCTGATTGAACTGTGCTCAAAAAGCATTGTCGGTATGGCCGGGGTGAATACACACGGATACGCCGTCAACCTCTCTGTTTTCACAGTGATGACTCCTCAGAATTAGTGCGCATGCAGATTTTCAATATCTCTAAATGCACTTTTAAGCCATTCATTCTTCCTCAGACAATAAAATGAGGAGGCGACTTACCAGGTTACTTGTTGAGGTAGATTAAAGCTACACAAAGTCAACCTATTAACCCAAATTCTACTCGTCAGTGCGCTTCCTTGGCCCTTTTAGCTGAGTGCTATATGCAGATCGCTTTCCTACCTACCTCTTTAACGGAATATAGGAACCAGGATCGTCTCGCCTCCCCCTCCCCGAATACTTATACGTTCCTTATGAAGATTTTCCTAAAGCGGGCGAGGTCGACCGAGTGTCAATATGTCGGGAGACTGATAACTCGGTTAAGTCTACTAACTACTGGTGGCTATTGTGGGTCGCTTTTGATCTGTTACTCGAGTTCAGCTAGTCAATTGGAAATGTTTTTTCATCAATCCAGGGAAGATCATCATTTCATGCGCTCATCAGGCACCTGATCACTAAACAGACTGTCACATTATTGTCACAAAGATGACCTTCAGAATGCTTCGCTATTGGTTCATTCGTTATGGTTTTATCTGCTAGATGTTTGTGAAGCTTTGGTCAAGAAAGTGACGATCTTTTGCTTGGTTTCGGGTCTTGCCAACAATTTTTGAGTGATTCAGCGTTTACTTAGATGCTGGTATTAAACCTGAAGTGAAATGAGTTAGCTTATCTATGCGATCACAGTGATAAAATGGTTTAGTAGCTTCGTATAACAGTATGTTTGTGTTGGAAGAGGACGTCGAATACTCTCAGAATTTCTTTCTGCATGACAGAACTCTAAAACAGGGAAAAACAGACTGTTTACATAAAGAGAAGGGGCAGCAGATGAGAAAACCGAACCCAAGGGTGGATTTTGCATGAAATGAAACGAAGTTTGGCTGTAAGCGGATGAAACTAGACCTCAAAGTGGTCACGAACACCCACGCCATCCTTTTCTCTAGAAGCGGCAGCATTTCAGAATACGAGACACGTTGCGATATTAGGTTTTTTAAAGCTCCAGAACTGTTTTTTAGACTTGTGGGATTCGGGATTTTCAAGTAACAACAATGAGGAGGGCACATTCTACCTTTGAAAAAAAGTAGCTGAATCTATGTTGGAAGTTGGTAGTCGTAGATCTTATGAGTGCACACTAGGTTGAATTATCATAGGCAGT